TCACCTCCCTGAATGCACGTGAGTTGCACCGAAGTAAAACAACCTGCGCGCATCGAGAAATTGCCGCTCATTGTCGCACGACGTGCCGCGCACGACGGAGCGGCAAAATAAGGTTCTCATGTTCGGCTTCTCAATTCAAACATCACCAACCTCGTCTAGCGTCTTCGTCTCGCCAACCTCCTTGAACATGCTTAATAAATGATCGCCATATTCGTGAATATCGAATTCTTTTCTTGTCTCTTCTTCTTCAAGTATGGGCATCATGGTTTCTTCCCACTCTTGTACACGAGCAACCAAGTCAGAAGTGACCTCCTCAGTGGTGGACCAGTACCTCAAAAGAGAAAGAGCAAGATGATAAGGAAGGACTAATGCGAATCAAATTAGAGCTTGAATATTGTGTCAGCAACAACAGGGCATTCAAATATAAAGGCGGGGAGCGGAAAAGACTCTCTCCTAGACTCTAAGCAAAATATGTTACACTTATTGAGTTCCAACTGAACTTTTCCACCATCAAATTCAACAACACGCTGCACACGACCATGAGACTCAAGCGTTCTGGACGAGCGCCATCGAGAGATTCTGCCACGCGACCGTGATTCGGTGCCTGAGTTCAGCGAGGTCGTTGATTTCTCCGCCACTGTAGACCACCCTGTTGAGCTCCCCCGGACCCGGTAATCGAGGGGTTCTAGTACAGGTGACACACTTGGATATTCCTTCAGGTACTCATCACTCTTCGATTCCAATTAGGCGAGTTTTTCGATTCCATGTGCTGGCACCCAATCCTGTAGCAGTACGAAGTTTCCAAGATGGTACAGGCGACGACATGAAGGCAGGATATTCTCCTCGAGCTGTTCGATGTAACAGTCAGCGCTCACTTTCATCCGGTCCACGAAAACAATGTCGGTCTTCCCATTCCGGGTACTTGCGGCCCATACCATCAACCCGTCCTTGACGACTGCACACAAGATGATATCCTGGACCATGGCGACGTTGTTGGAGCTGCTCTTTTTCGCGTTATCAAGACCACGAGTGCCGGTCACCAGGTAGCTGCCTCGATACAAGTTTGTATCGAGTTACCAAGAACTTTCGCATGTTTAGTGGTGACGTTATTCTATAGGTTTTTTTTTCAGTTCGGCTACGATTGCAGATGGCTTCATATTTTGGTGTACATGAAGGTGATGGACGAGAGCCTGCTTCTGCTTATCGAGGAACATCTTGGGTATCTTTCGCCCAGGTGTTATATCACGTCTTCTCTCTGCACTGCGTATTCTTTACTGATATGTGTCTCGGGCGAGCGTCTTTTTTACCCCCCCCCCTGTACACTGTTTCTACTGCTTACGTTTGTGACATGGGCAGGTCAACAGTCGTGGGCACCCGGTCGATGGACTTAAACACCTCCAATGACGGCGTCAAAATTTATTTGCGAAAGACTCAAAAGATTCAAAAGAATCCAAAAGTTTTCACAAAAATTTTTATATTGTTTATACTCCTTTCTTCTTCGAATATTTCGGTGCCTAGCACCTTCTTCAGCGACCTGGTACGCCGCGCCCTCTAGCGGCTTTCGTAAGGAGCAGCGGCGGCATATTGGCGGATACTGGATGGCGTATTTTACCAGTTCGCTGGAAGAATGGGTACTCAGGCACCGAATATATTGCGATAGAAGATAGGACGGTTATAAATTCAAAAATGTTTTCTTGTGACTTTTGCGATATTTTCACAATAAATTTTTCTCGGACAGCCGCCCGCATACATGTTGACCGCTCAGTTTCGATACAATTAGGAAGCCAGAATAGTACTTCGGGACGGAACCTGTTAGGGCTACAGGCTCCTGTCCACGTATGGTAACGTGGCTGCGTTGAGCGTATCGTACTGAAGGAAAGCGAATTTCAGTATGTAATATCCAGTAAGCTTCACACCGCTCTATAGCTTATTGCCTACACTTTCGGATTCGTCGCCAGTAATGTACTGCTTTAAGGACCGTTTGCTTGCTCATCTCGCACAAGAAATCATTCGAGGTAGTTAGAACACAACCCCTGTCAAGAGTATCAGGATGTATAAAAAATATGAGAGATACAAAAAGAACAATACATCGCAGTCAATACCGTGTCGACCGTAAAGGTAATGCAGAGAGGAGATCAGATCCACGTATCTTTACATGTGTTCGGTGTAGAAGCTCAGAGGCTGAATTTCTTTTTTCCTTGATCTCCTACTGGCTGACTTTGACTTTCTCTCTGCGAGGGAGCACATCCTGAAATATAACGATAACTTCTTCTTCCATTATTGACAGCGACCGCACTAGAGCAGAGAAGATAGCAAGTACCCAGCGCAGACCCAAGAAGGCCTTCGACTTATCGGTCAGGCGTCCGTGACTGCGGTTAACAGCGACACGTCGCGCTTCTCGCGCAAGCAGTCACCGTGCATTACCACTTCGAGTCCAGTTCCGTGGAATTTGCGGCTAGGATGTGACCTGCTTACTACTAGCTCATTCGTCACTTATGGCAAGGATCAGGATCCACTGAGGTGATTGTACACTGGTCTTCAATGTAGAATCTCATCCAATAGATATGAGATCTCAAAAGCAACTCTACGAACGATATGGCATATCAATGTCATTACAGCTAATATAGTCCTCAACAGGGCGTGTCAGTGTGATATGGGTTCTGGAGCGGTGTCAGCTCATTTCTCACCAATCATTGCCTTATTTGATGAAAACTGCGTGAATCCAGCTGATGCTGCGCCAAAACCCACGTCACACTGACGCACCCCACCGATTCGGTTGCTGACTGTAGAGTAAGCATGGGAGAAGGTATGAAACTAACCTCCGTATAAAGAACCGATATCTATGGAGTTGTTGAGATCATCATCGCTTATGTCACCAAACATCAAATCAATAATCGGAATAGACTTGCGAGCCTAAAATGCAGGAACAAATGGTCAGGAATTATTTGCGGGTGTAATTTTATACCTTTGTGCACTTCACACAACAAAGAAAAGAGCAGAAAGGAAAGTAAGAAAGAATATCAACCCCTGACGCCCATTCTTGCGATTCATGCCAGATTTTGATCGCACATACCTCGGTGATAAGCTGATATGAAATTTTGTCCAGGAAGGAGATTTGACTCGCTGAATACCACTGAACGTAAATATAACATCCACCCTGAGCGAAAACGCTTGACGCTCTCGCACAGGCTCCCCCGCAAGTCAGTCTCAGCGAAACTTCTGGTTAGTAGGCACCTGGCCTACTAACCAGAGGTCTCGGCGCTTATCGATTGTGATACTCTGTTTATAGCATAGACATTCCACTCGCGACAAGTTTCCGGAAGATGTGATGACTTGAGCTGTTCTGGCGCGGGTGTTAGACATTTATGCACAGCAGGGGATATTGTACTCGGTAGTGCAAACAGGGTACAGCATTGTGATGTGTAGAGTAGAGGTGCCAGTACGAATTTCTCCTGAAAAAGGGCCCCGTTACGACCCCCCCCCTCTCTTTTTCCTGTTCTAACAAGAAGGATTAGATATGTAAGGATTAGCGAGCGCTTGCGGCCGCATCGGGAAGCGCAAAATAATAATAATGATGGTAAATTATTTCGGTACTTTGTAGTCTTCCACACTTCCGGGTTCCCTACTATGCTGTCGCCGAACCACAGGACCCAGCCGTGAAAGTTTTCGCGCTGTTCGGTGCTAACTGACTCTGCATTGACGACCCCCCACCCCTTCCTCAGCGGCCATGACCGACCCCCTGGGCAGATGCTGTCCCCTGGGTACGAAACATAGAGGGAACGACATCCCAGAATAACCTGGCATCAAGACATTTCACCCACAATCCCATCTAATTTTCGAGAAGTGGAAATCTTAGAGTGAACAGTGCAACCAACAAGATCGTTTTCAACAAGCAAAAAATTAAAGCGGTGGCTCTTTGCAAGGGTAAGTCATTAATAAGCACAACTAATACCTCGACAGCGTCGGGAGCAGACTCTGCGGCCTTCTTAGAATCATCTACTCCTTGGGTTCCAGCAGCATTTGTTTTCGGAGGAACATTTTCATCGTTAGCGTCAGCATAATCCTCACCATCATCGTCGCAGTCGTAGACACCATCGTCGTCATCAGTGTACACGGCTGAGAAGCACAACGTTCAACAGTAAGGGACTTTCAAATAAAACATAACCAAGGCCACAATGAAGACGGTTACATGCCATCTTGAACTTTTGTGCATGGTCCTGTTACGAAACCCTGTGAGCAAACGGGCAGCGACTACCAAACCAAAACATCAAAACGTACAAAACGTATGGCGAGCCAGGAAACGGGATTTTTCAAGGGGAAGGGGACTCCGGGGTGGGTAAGGTACTTAGAGTCGGTGAAAAACTGGAGCAAGCAAGAAGACATGAAGAAAGAGAAATGGTTTTCCTTTTACTTCGTCACCCATAAAGTGAACAGATATTTTCATAGCCAAATCTTCAAGTAAAGGAAGGTCACGGAATCGCTTTGGAAAAGCCAAACTTTTGAAACATGGCTAACGTTTTTTTGGTGCCCCAGTTTCTAGCGTGAACATGAATACTTTATTTCACTCTTTCTACAACTACACCGGAACAAGAGCTCTGAAGTTCTGCTTCCTCCCTAAAACATATGCCTCTTCGAGACTGATGAGTTCTTCTGATTCCGTTGGAAACACAGAAAGAGCTGTGCCACAGAAAGAGCTATACTACTGAGGTCACGCTCATATTTTGCGAATTGGGATATTCGGCGTTTCTAGCGCGCCGAAGGTGTGGATGAGTAGACCGGCGCCATTTCGAATACCCATCCGCCCCCCCCCTTAGCTAACGCAACTGTGCGAAATGCCGAGCCTGCCAAAAAATCGCTGGGTCGCTCAATTTCTGCAGTCTTCAGACCGATAACTATACTTTCCTCCTTGCGCAATCTCTCAAATTTCCTGCGTCGCAAAGTATTAGGTTGATAAGAAAGTGATGACCCATTTAAAAAAATTTTCTGCTTTATTTTAGTACTCAGCATACAATGCAAGCTACTCAACAATATAATCACCATTATTAGTGACAACAGTCTCCCACTTAATGGGCAGGTCAGCGATCCCCTTCTCCCAGAACTGAGGAGACTGGGAGTCGAAGAAGTCACTCACCGCCCGTTTCACATCATCAACTTTGGTGAATTGTTTCTTAGCTAGAAAAGCCTTAAGGGGACGGAACAAGTGGTAATCTGAAGGAGCTAGGTCAGGGGAATAGGGCGGGTGAGGGACAGTTTCCCAGCCCAGCTCCTCCAGTTTTTCCCGGGTCTCCTTTGCTATGTGGGGTCGGGCGTTGTCGTGCAGAAGGTGGACCGAGGCCCGTCTCGGCCGTTTTTTCGCGAAGAGCTTCGGCGAGTTTGCCGAGTTGGCGTGCGTAGATGGGCCCGGTGACCGTCTGGCCTTGCGATAGCATCTCGTAGTACAGCATACCGCGCGCGTCCGTCCCAAAGCACAAAAACAAGAGCATTCTCGGGTGAAGATCAGATTTTGCCTTGCGTAGGCGGGGCGAATTCTCCTTGCGGGAGCCAGAACGCGCGGTGCTTATTGGCGTTGTAGAGGATCCAACTCTCGTCTCCAGTAACCAAGTCGGCGAGAAACTCCTTGCGCTGGGGGCGGAGGAGTAGTGACTGACAGATGGCAACCCGAGTCAACCGCGCGCATTCTCAGTCAACACATGAGGGATCCATCGTGCCAGCACTTTCCTGTACCCGAGAGCGTGAAGGACTGTTGGTTGAAGTACACCCAAGTCTTGTCGCAAGACTGCGGGTGCTGAGTTCCGGATCCTCCTTGACGGCGTCGAGAATGGCGAACTCGTCGACTGTGGGGCGTCCCGACCGAGGCTTATCTTCGAAGTTCGTGTCTCCTTCTTCGAAGCGAGCGAACCAGCGCTTGACCGTGCTAAGAGAAGTGGTGCCCTCTCCCAATGTGCTGTTGATGTTTTGAACGGTTGCCGTCGCTCCGGTCCCGCGAAGCCATTCGTAGTAGATGACGTGTCGAATTAGCTCTTTGTGATTGCCATCGTGATTAAAGCTATAGGAAGCAGCCCAGCTTTATATACCCATTATGGAGAAGGTTCGAGAATGTTCTACAACTACCACTTGCTTGGTCATCGATATCGACCAAGATTCCAAAGTTCTCGAAATTTCAAAAAATTGGGTCATCTTTTCTTTTAACACCCTAATATCAAAGCGGTCTTAAAGAGACTAGCGACGGGAACTGTGCTCATACCCATATACTGAAGTTCTATAACCAATGAAAAAGTTTGGAATTCGACCACAGAAAAAAGTTTAGAAACCAACCTTCAGCGACCGGTTTCGCTTTTTTGCTTTCGCGCTTTGCTTCGGCTCTCCTTTTCATCACCGCAACGATAAACCGGTAAAGAGCATCAGATTGCTAAGAAACAAAATGGGTAGAGTCAGGATTTTTCGCACGGTAACTACCAAGCAACACTTACCCAATCATCAGCTTTACATTTTTTAACCTTCTTCCGCATAAAGAAGTGTTCTTTGACATAGTCGTTCGTCCTCATCGTACGTTTTTGGAAGGTCAGTTTGTTTTCGTTCGTAGAAGACTGGTTCTGTATGCAACGATGCATGGGAAAGGTGATGTTCGGAAAGGAGGAAGAATATAGGCGGACGGTACCGGCTCGGTCCATTTCTTGCGGCTAAGGGAGAGAACTCTCTAACAAATCGCTGAATTTTCTCTATCGGCTCGTCTTCCACTTGGACGCTTCAAAGGGATTCAACAGAAGCTTCTCTGTACAATCTACATCCACTTCAGTCTCCCACTAAAAGTTGAAAAAATAATAGTAGAACACTTCTGCCAGAAATCTATGCTTCGAATCAAGAAAATACAAAATTACCGGCATTGGACCACGTTCTTCACAGCGAATGATGCACGTTTCTCACAGGCAGGTGGGTGAGGCAAAGTGAAATCTCCATCACAATCGAAACTGTCGCCATAACAATCATCACCACCACCACCACCACCACCACCACCATCAGCAACCAGCTTCACTTCGAGGGTCTCCACTTCCGGCACTTCCAACAGACGCGTACTTGGCCTAAAATTCTACCAATTGACAAGCAAATCAATACGGCTGCCAAAAAACATGCTGAAGCGCTTTGACTTGATTTTGTCGCTTTTGTTACGCTTTTCCGTCATATCGTTCCCTATAGGGTAGAGGGCAGTGGGGGAGCCGCGACCACGGGGCGGAGCATTACACATGCCATAATCCCCAGCGTCTTTCACTCGCGATGTCGGGCGGCAAAGGTGCTAAACCTCGTAAGGCTGCAGACTGCATCGCATAAGCGGGGTGGATCCCACCCTACGAGTAAATACGAAATGCGCTTTTAAGACAGTCACGATTTACACATTCACGATGACCTCAGTCTATAAACAGGGCGCAGTTTGACGACCGGAGGGGGGGGCATTTTGAACTATCATTGCTTCCTTAGTTCCAGTTTACATGTCTCACTCTGGTGGCCGTCATGTAAAACCCGCCAACTCGAGAAAAGGTTGTCTAGATAGGTCGATGGGAAGTAGCAAAAGTGCAAAATGCCTCCCCCCCCTCCGTCGTCAAACTGCGCACGTGTTCATTTAGAGTTGCAGGTGCTGATAAGCACTAGATTATAACGCAGTAAAAATGTACAGGGAACGATTAACGTGAAAAGCGTCGGCTAGTGGAATAGCTTTTTGCCAAAAAAGAAGGAGTTATCACCTGGCAGATTGTAAGTCGTTGAAAGTGTTCGTTGTTCCACGACGTGCAATTTCCATGGCACTAGGTATCCGCGCATGATCTCCCGCAGCGAGTTCGTCTAAAAAGGAAAATACGAACCAATAAGACTGAAAGACTTACGTAGCACAGGTGCGTTTAGTATGTCACCCATTGAGACAGATGACATGTCATTGACATCACTCAACACGTCCATGACACGCTTGAGACGCCATCCACCATGCAGGTTTTCCTGCTAAAAATCAGCTGTGTGAGTCAGGGATACGCCATCTTCTCAAAGGGTGACGGACTATGGTACACCTGCACCAAGGATTGCGAAACCCTACAATTTACCTAAGGGAGAGCCTCTTCCGGAATCAGGGGCCTGTGATTGAGTGTTGAAACCTGTTCTGGAATGAGGGATCTGCGACAAAGTGTTGCGTCTCCTCATGTAATATATTGCAAGTCCTGCATGAGCGCCATAGGGATTTGCAACCACAGTTCCGTCAGGATTATAGAGATACGGATGCCACTTTCGCAGGAACTCTTCACTGGCAAACTGATCAACAATCTTGTTGTGAGCCAAATGCAGCAACAAAACACCCTGAAAAAATAGGCAAAACTCATTGGGCGTTCATACTTTGCGTCAGCTCCACCAGCTTCTCGAGGACTAGGAAGTTATGGGTATGATCGGACGCCAAGGTCTCGGAGTGGATAGATGCGACAGGAGGGTAGCAGACGACAAGATTAGGCGTCGTGTGCAACCGCACCAAGCAACTGCTTAAAGGCAGCGTTCCGCGATCAACCAAAGTGAAAAACTCTGCATTGAAAACGAACGCGGAGTCCGCAACCGCAGCGGAATCCCACTCTTGCGGCTCGAAATCGATT